CACATTAAAAAAACGTTCATTTGGACCCCCCACTTTTACTATAAAACATTAGTTCAGGCGGCGCAGTTTCTCTTTCTTTGTGAACGAATCCATTCCACTTGATTAATAGGAGAATACTCAAGCCACTAAAACTCCACTCCAGGTTTTCCTGGTTACCTCCAACTCTCCACTGTCTCCACCTGCCTCTTGCCTCGGCAGAAAACGTACACAGGTGGAGGAGGTGGAGGTGCCCGTGTTGCTCGCTCGCCAGTTTAGCAGCTTAGTGCGAGCAGTTTTTGACGGGGGATTGATCATAAACATATATTCATGTTAGGAGGAGAGAAGTGGAGCGCTACGTCTGTAGCATGTTAGCTAGCAGTAACTGTGACGCTGTGTGTTCAGGTGCATTAAAGTTAAAATGTCTTTAAAATCCACAGATGAATTTACACAAACTTGGTGAGAAACAAGTTTAAATGTGTGGAATTAAAGGAAATCTAGGTGAAATGCTGCTTTTTTGTTCACTAGTGAACGCCTTTTTTTACGTGCGCGCACACGCGCGTGCACACACCTACACACATTACTGTGTCCCCCCCACATTACGGATGCTTCTGACGTCCTTGGGGTCAACGTAGATGTTTAAGAACCTGTTCAAGTACACTAAAATGCAGGAAATCCATCTATTCAAAATTTTCTGGGGGACGACCCAGGACACCCCCCGCCCCCTTCCCCCAGCCAGCCCGCCCACTATTTGCATTACATCAGTGCTTCTCAATTATTTTTGGTTACGCCCCCCATGAAGAAGTAAACATTTTGCGCCCCCATCTCTCTGCCATGACTGTAAATAGTATAATTTAATATTTGTTGTCTTATTAACATTAAATAAATAAATACAGATCAACTTACAACAAAGATTATTAACACTATTTTATAGTCTATAACAGAAAAGGCTTAGTGCATTAATTTGCCTGAAAAAAAAAATCTATCCTTATTTAAACTGTAAACATTTTTGACCATTTGATACTAAACAATCAAATTCAATACAATCAATAAATAATAATAAATTCAAATTGATCAGACATTTTAAGTCAGGAGTGTTATATACAACACTTTGACCTACAAAACAAAAATGAATTAACCAATTTGTGCTGATTTTTTATTTTTTTTATCAAAACGAGGAAGTCGGGATTAATGGCTACAATGAGCACGTTTTGCAGTGCACAGCTTTTTGAAGCGCAGTTTGAAACGTGATCCTGCAGCTCTCAGCTCCTGCTCAATGTTTAGATGGACCTGGACCTGGACCTGGTCTCAGTGCAGCAGAGAAGTCGCAAAGAGCGCAAGAGCGAGCGGGCTGGCTGGGTGGTGGGGTCCAAGGGAACGCGCTCACAAGAGAAGAAACTGACAAGTTGTTTAATGATATAAAATATATTTTGTTAGCAAAGAATAGAGTCCTAACATTTATTAAACATCTGTTTTTATAATAAATAATCAAAAAACATCAAACTTGTGCTTTGACAATCGATTAAACTAAAACATTTTGTCAATGTGAAAGAGGAAAGAGGGGGCAGGTGTCGCTCTCTCTTTGAGTTTATACTCTTTGTTGCTGCGTGCTGTGGGTGAAATGCGTCCAGAGCGGAGGACTTGTTAGCAAAGAATAGAGTCCTAACATTTATTAAACATTACTTCTGTATAAAAAAAAAAACACAAAAAAATTGTGCTTTGATAAACTAAAAATAAATTGTTAAAGTAAAAGAGGGGCAGGTAACGCTCTTGCTTTGAGTTTATTCTTTGTCGCATGCGTGCTGTGGGTGACAAGTGTCCAGAGCGTCACCAGTGTCACAGCGACACCGTTCAATTATGGCTCCCCAAACAACAAGACAGACAGATTTGTTCATAACTTTAATATTATAAATTATTATTATTAAGACTGAGAGTTGCTGGATTTTAGCAAACAGTTGCCGAATGCACCCTGACACAAGAGAATGGTGCAAAAAAAAAAAAAAAAAAAAAAAACCCCGCCCCAAAAAATTCCCCCGGGGCACATGGGCCCCCCCCCCCCCCCCCGGCATTGCTCCGGGCCCCCCCAGGGGGGGCGTGCCCCACTATTTGAGAAGGACTGCATTACGGTATTGATCAGTTTACTAATCAAGCCATGGTCTGAGTCCAACTTGAGAGCTAAATGCAGATTCAGGTTTCAAGGTTTTACCTTCAGCCACTCTTCAGCTTGTTCTTTGCTCTGCACTGCCAGCACCAAGGCATCTGCCCCCTGGTGGACAATCTTTAGTTCATGCTTCTTCTTCTTGCCATCTTTGGGGATGTGGGTGATGCTGCATCCTGACAGGGTGAGCTCCATTTGGGGGGTCTGGTCCTTCGAAGATTTGTAACACTAAAGGAGAGGAAAATGGTTCAAGTTACACTGGAAAGGTCGAACATCATTTTATCGTACGTACGACTGGATTGTTGCTGTTTTCAGACATGCTTGCAGTTCTGCAAAACATTTATTTTTCTTCTAATTCCTTTAGATCCTCAACACAGACTCGAACTGAGCTGCAAACCATGATAAGGCCTCCACCATGCTTCAGCATTGAATAACAAACTTTAATTTTTGTTCTTCTCTGACATCATCAGTCTACTTCAACCCAAAACATCAACAGTGGATTAATTGTCCCATAATACTGTTTGCCACAAAGTCAGAGTTTGGGTCCAGTTCTTACATGAACTGACAGACTTCAGTCTTTACTCTTCATCTCTTTATCTTACAGACAGGTTCCTGATAATCACAAGTCCACACAGATTAGTTCTGTTGAGACTGGCAACAACAAAAAAGCATATGAATCAGTTAAAGGTGCATGTTTCCAGTCTTAGCTAGATTTTTTTATTTTCATTTTCTTAAAGATATAAACCAATGCCAATAATGCTCACACTGCAAACAGAGTCCATCTAACCTACTCTTACATTCTTATATTCAGCCAAAAAGGATTTTTGATCTTGTTTTGAGATTTATATGCTAAGCAAGAGCAGAAACTGTTAGATTATTAATCTTGTTTGGGGAATATGCATCTTTTATTTCTTACTTAGTTACCAAATCTTAAAAATAGTTACTTTACATGCATATTAAGCAAAACTGTATCACAGAGACGTGTGAGATCATACTGTATGTTTAAGAGCAATTTTTATCTGTAAAATCTTGTTTCAAGACCTCCCAGTAACAATTCACACTTATTTGCTCATTTACTTTCAATCTTTACAAAGCTGCAGGGTAACATTACTTTTTTACAACATAGACAATAACAAATCACATGTATGATATTATGAACATACTATATATCTTCCACTGTTTGAAGGTTATTCATTTAAATTTTTAAGTGCAATGACATCATCAAGGTTATATTTTGTCAAAACATACACACTGCTATTGAAACTGACTGGATAATATGATGTATGATCAACTAGCTTTAAGTCTCCTGGGCAAGATTAGACACTGTAACTTCATAAGCTAAAAGATCTTTATTCCAGCCCACGGTCTCATAAAGCTGGTATTCAAAACAGTATAATGAACTGTTTATCACAAAAATGTTCTTTATAAGTCCAAAAACAGGAACTGTGTCATTTGCATGGGTGATTATTAAAGACCTTTCACTTATGTACTTGTTCCCATTAAGAATAAGCCACTTTACTTTGACTCCATGTTGCATGCCATAAATCCCCTAAAGATCTCATCCTTTCAGAAATGTACTCCGTATTTGTTACTTCAGAGACAGGACCCAGTTATTTTTCATGTGCAAAAATTGGATGATGAGTACCCATTTCATTCTGACAGCATTCAAAAAGCACATTATGGTTCACAAGTGACTTACAGACATTTTTCAAGTTCAGTTTAGATGACCACTGTTTCAAAACAACAGTGCTTTGATTCAAACCGCATGCACATGTGCCTTACTAAAGGCCCCAAATGAAGAATTTGAGCAGGGGTATGCAGCATGTAATGTTGCTTAGGTATTACATTATTCTCATGAAAGTGTTGCTTAAATTTTTTCAAATGCTGTTCAATCGGTGCTTCTCCTCCAAAATCATACTAATTTTTTTTTTCACCTGCAGTGTTCCCTCAGTGCAAACTGAATTAGGCAAAAGGGCCTTCTCCTACTCCGCTCCTGTTTCCTGGAATATCTTGCAAAAAACATCTGAAGCTCTTGACCTTGACCTCTCTAAGTGACTTTAAACATCTGTTAAGTTCCTGACAAAACCCAATGCAGACATGTTCCTGTTTTTAGTTTTCTACACTGCAATCTAGATGTGTTTTTTTTTTTCTTTTTGCTACTTTTCCTTTTGACTGTCCTTTTGGTTGCCATTTTGTTTTGCTTTGTTAAAAAAAAAAAAAAGACATTTAAATTTGTTTGTCGTTGTTATACACTTTTGTCATCACTCTTTGTTAAGAAACCAGGTCTCTCTTGTAATTGAGTCTCCAAGGCTCAATGGGATTAACCTGTATAAATAAAGGTTGAATGAAAAAAAAAAAATTGAACTCTTGGCGGGCACATCTGTGCTAGAGGGCAATACCAAGTCTTAAGGGGGTGGGTTGTACCAAGACTGTAGTTAACTTGCATAGTAATATTTTTAAAAAGGGGATTACAACAGGCATATTATTTAATGTAGAATTTTGAGTTCTACTATTTCATTATGCACATCATTTTCACTTTTTACAAGCTTTAAACAGACTGCTAGGTTCTGCACGTGTTTCCCCCTCCTCGCCCTCATTTGGTTGCGTCTGTCCTGTAACGGTCACATTTGGAAGCAGAGTGAAGCAGCAGGTGGACTGAACTCAGCTAAGGTAATGAGACATGTTGTTATCAAATATAGATGTTTCCAGTTTTGAATTACTGCACTCATTACAGCCTGGTGACCATGAACGTTTTGTTTCATCAATTCTAATAGTACACCATGAGTTGTTCGCCACTGTAGCCTTAAAACCTGCTAGCTTGCTAGTTAGCTCGCTAGCTTAGCTCATGTTGACTGACAGGTTTGGTGCTGAAACGATACTTTGCAGTGAGATGTTTGAATAACATGTTAGTTCTGTGAATATAGTTTTTTACAATAAAATATATACGTGTTCATTATGATTAACACGACTACAGGCCACAAGAAGGACAGTTCTGTTGTTCTGTTGTTGTTGTTGTTGTTGTTGTTGTTGTTTGTGGACAGGGCTGTAGGTAGACATACTTTTATTTTACATGAATGAAGAATGATGAGTTAATTCATCGTGGGTTTTACTCCCTGATGACCAAATTTATATTCAGATTACCAGATTTTATTCTGATTTATGACATTAACACCCCCCCCCACACACACACACACACACACATGTGCTGAATTTATGGTAATGAGGTTAAAAAGTGACCATAGTCACAGTCTAAATGGACAATTTTATATATTCTGTTGATAAAACCATTAAAATATGAGAATGATTTTATTGAAATCCAGTTTAGTTTATGAAATTAAAGACAACAGGAGAAAATAAAACATCTGCAAGGTAACATCTGCATAATCTATATGTACATTGGTTAATGACATCAGAACCTGTATATTTATTTTAAGCTTAATTTCAGACAAATTATGACAAAAGGCTTTGAACCAGGTCAGGCTGAAGTTAACTTGGTTTTAAAAATGTATGTTGTGAATTATGAACATGAATCAGTTCATGTGAACCTTGCTGATCTGAGCTAAGACATAATTATTGTTAGAGATGACCTGGCACATAACTTTGGGAATGTTTCAAGGATATGACAAGCTGTTGGGCATTATTTGATTTTGTCTGAACAAATTTGTTAATCTGGGGTTGCATTGTTATGTTAAAAGATAAATTAGTAATATTAGTATGACTTAACCAGGAAATTAACTTGGGCTTTACTCAGCCCGTCTTTTGCTCCTTGTCCAGCTGTCAAATGTGTTATTTTGTGTCTACACTATAGAAGCCAGAGTAAGTTGGTTCAGTTTTTCCTTTGTGTGATTAAACATGTTTCTTTCTGTCCTCAGGGAAAAGTGCAGTTAAAAAAACAAGAAAATCATGGATGGTTCGGATGATTTTACAATATCAGCTCTAAATGGTAAGCCATGATTGAAATATATTTATGTGAATTACTGTCTAACTGAATTGTTTGTTGTGCACACTGACACTGGTTTTAAATATGAAACTAATTAAACTATTTAATTTTTGTAAGCTCAATTTGTTTGCCCTGTCAAGTTGAATACTGTATACATTTAAAGGGATATACAACTTTATAATTCTAAAAGTTAATGAATTTTCGGTATCATTGCACCCCTAATTGTTTTGTGAACTGAAGATGAAGCTGTTAATCTAATTTAACAGAGAAATGTTTAACTAGAAGTTGATTTATTCTGTTCTAGTGGAAGAAAAAAATCGCCCTGTTCAGGGCGCTCCCCACTCTCTTCCCATCACCAGTTGCACCACCCAAGAAGCTGGGACATGCCAGTGAAGCGTTGCTTCATGTCCTTCAGGTTAGTGTTTGTTCTTATTTGTTGTCAGTTAATATTTGTCCACAAAGGCTTTCATTGTGTATTTTGATAAATTAACAGTTTAACTGCCATATGGCCATTGTTTGCATCCCTGGTCATAAAACAGCATCATCTATATTTGGAAATCTGCAGCGTTGTGATCACATGACATAGGGTGGTCACCCATAATACAAGTGGCACAGAAACACTTGTAAATTTCCACAGAAACACGTAAAAATAACCGTATATAAACTGACTTGAGCTCGATTTAAACAACCTTCAACAGAATCGTATAAATAATCAAATCCAAATAGGAAATAATTTTAGATTTAACCATCAGAAGTGCAACATCTCTGTCCCCGGTTCAAATGCCTTTCCGGGGGCCTTCCTGGGTGGAGTTTGCATGTTCTCTCCGTGCTGCGTGGGTTTTCTCCAAGTACTCCAGTTTCCTCCCACAGACCAAAAATATGCATGTTAGACTGATTGGTAACTTTAAATTGTCTCTGGTGTGAGTGAGAGTGAATGGTTGTCTCATTTGTCTCTGTGTGTCCCTGTGATGGACTGGAGACCTGTCCAGGGTGTCCCCCGCCTCTCACACAGTGACTGCTGGACATGGGCACCAGTGACCCCCGTGACCCAAAAAGGAAGAAGCAGGTAAAAGATAAATGGATAAAATGAATAAAAGAAAGAAACACATGTTGTTCAAACCAAAACATTTTCTAACGCAAAGTTTTGTAAATGATTTAGGTACCTCTGAAAACCTTCAATGACTTATAATTTAAATGACAATAATCTGTCAAAGCTCTGATACAAGGACTGATCATGGGAACGGCACTGTTCACAGAACTTTGAGAAACCTTCAGAGGTCTAGAGATATATTGTTCAAACCAGTTTTAAAGGTTGCGCTGAAGTTTGGCTCTACATGTCAGCAGTACCCTCTGTTAGGGAACGCTTGCTCAACGGTTATGGAAGTTTTTATTACTATGGCTGAGAATCTTAAGTCTGCCCATGAAGCACATATGTCTGGGTTAGTAGAGAGAGCTGGATGAGGAGCAGAGTGAAACTGGGGCATGCAGCTGGGACACCTCCTGCACTCTGAACTCGGCTGAACTGATAAGTGTATAAAACAAGCTGAGGAGGCAGCTTTGGGTAGATTCTCGTGACTGGTCTTCATGCGTGCACTTCATGTATACTTACGTAAACTGTCCTGAAAATCTGACCTTGCAAGTAAATACCAGTTAAAAATCTTTTCCTGCCATCAAGTGTGGTTCTTGTTGTGTAAGCAAGATAAAGCAACAATATTTTTCTACAGTACTGTCCAACATGTCCAAGTACTGAAAGAGACAACCAACAAAAGTTTCTTACCAGCAGTTTGTTGTCTTTGATGACACACAAAAGTTTAGTCCACTGGCCAAAGCGTTTCTTGCGGAGCAAGAAAGCACAAATCCGAGCATCTTTGACCAGATCCATGGACGCCTCTTCAGACGGCCACTGAATGTGCATTTTCTGGCCCTTCCCATCATCATCATCATCATCATAGGACTCATATGATGTGCTGTTGGCATCGGAGTCATAATCTGAGAGAGCACACAAAGGATGGTTTTTAACTTTTAGGGATTCCTGTAAAAATGAAATGTTACAAATGGTTTGTCTTTAACACATAATCACTAAAGCTGTGAAGTTTTACAGTAAAAGTAATTGTACACTGGCAGACTGAATGCATGTCACCCATTGCTTTTCCAGGGATGATGCTCAGCTACAACCACACAAAATTTCTGCTTTTCAGCAAAAAACAATAAAACAAAAAATTGGAACAAAGCTGTTACTCACTGGAGGTGATGTACTCTGGAGCCTTTCCTGGACTTAAAGGTACAGCCTCCTCATAGTATCCTTCTGGAAGGGAGGAAGTGGGCAGTGGAGGAGGGTCGTTGTTTGGAGCCTACAGAAAGACACAGACATTTTACTGACAGTTTCATGGTATTTATTTAAAACAATATTTCCAATGTGTGCAGTGAATGTGTGACAAATCACTTCAAACAGAGCATTAAGTCTAATTTGGTCAAAATGAATGAAGCACACTTTAAGATTCCTGCTTTTTAAGCTACAGTTTGACACCCGCATCATCCTGTTTTACATACGTATCGTGTAAGTCCGACCTGTGAGCTGCATGACTTAAAAAACAAGCAATGTGCTGACCTCCATTTTGGAATGTAGCTGCAACTAGGCATACGAAAAGTTAATGTTAGAAACTGGGTAGCCAGGTCAAAATACAAGATGGCCACCACCACATACAGGTGCTGGTCATAAAATCAGAATATCATTCAAGGTTCTTTATTTGTCATACACACCACATGTGGTACATGTGGTGGAACGAAATTGTGTACACAGGATCCCAGTTACATCCAAAAAAAAGTATTAAAATGTGAAAGAAAAACAATAAGATCTAAGATATGAACTAAGAACAACGTTAAATAAAAATACACTAAGCACTCGTGGTACAAAAACAACACGATGAACAACAGCAACACGAACATGAGTCTGTGAGCAGATCAGAAAGTTGATTTATTTCAGGAATTCCATTCAAAAAGTGAAACTTGTATAGTATATTCATTCATTACACACAGACTGATATATTTAAAATGTTTATTTCTTTTAATGTTGATTATAACTGACAATGATATTTCCGAGGAGCTCAGTTAAAGAGTTGTTGATGCTCATCAGGCTTGAAAATGTTACAAAACATCTGTAAAGAGTTTGGACTCCACCAATCCACAGTCAGACAGATTGTGTACAAATGGAGGAAATTCAAGACTATTGTTACCTCTCCAGGAGTGGTGGACCAACAAAGATCACTCCAAGAGCAAGGAGTAGAACAGTTGTTGAGGTCACAAAAGGAGCCAGGGTAACTTCTAACAACTGAAGGCCTCTCTCACGTTAATGTTGATGTTCATGAGTCCACCATCAGGAGAACTCTGAACAACAATGGTGTTCATGGCAGGGTTGAAGGAGAAACAACTGCTCTCCAAAAAGAACATGGCTGCTCGTCTGCAGTTTGATAAAGATCACGTGGACACAACAGAAGACTGTTGGAAGAATGTTTTGTGAACGGATGAGACCAAAATAAACTTTTTAAATGAAAAGTTTTATGCTTGTAGAAATGAAAACTCTGCATTCCTGCATAAGATTCTGATACCATCTGTGAAACATGGTGGTGGTAGTATCATGGTTTGGGGCTGTTTTGCTGCATCTGGGCCAGGATGACTTATCATTGATGGAACAATGAATTCTGAATTATATCAGATAATTCTAAAGGAAAATGTCAGAACATTTGTCCATGAACTGAATCTAAGAGAAGGTGGATCATGCAGCAACACAATGACCCTCAGCACATGAGTGGTTCTACCAAAGAATGGTTCAAGAAGAATAAAGTTCATGTTTTGGAACAGCCAAGTCAAAGTCCTGACCTTAATCCAATCCAGATGTTGTGGAACGACCTGAAGCAATGTGAGGAAACACCAACATCCAGAGCTGAAGCTGTTCTGTACGGAGGAATGGGATAAAATTCCCCCAAGCCGGTGAGCAGGACTGATCAACAGTTACCAAAAACATTTAGTTGCAGCTAGTGCTGCACGAGGGGGTGGGGGTGGGGTGTCACATCAGGTACTGAAAGCAAAGGTTCACATACTTTTACTATTCACAAATTTGTAATATTGGATCATTTTTATCAATAAATAAATGACCAAGTATACTATTTTTGTCTCATTTGTTTAACTGGGTTCTCTTCATCTACTTTTAGGACTTGTGTGAAAATCTGATGATGTTTTATATCATATTTATTAATAAATATAGAAAATTATAAAGGCTTCACAAACATTCAAGCACCACTGTGTGTGTGTTTTCACACACATGACATATAACTTAGTAAACTAAATGCAATTTAAAAATACATCTTTTAGCATTCAGCAAAGTAAAAACTATGAAAATCAACAACAATGAACACCTGAATGTTTGTTTTTCTGTCAGGAAAATATCCAATTTGTTTACATGGAGGAGCAGGACTTCATAGTTGTACTGGAGCCAGCCGTGACGGGGAGTTCATCTTTTGAGACTTCAATTTACAGATTCCTGTCTTTACTGATTGTACACCTGAAAGGGATCAACTAATTCTCTGGAGAACTAACCTTCAAGTAGAGCAGGTGGTTTGAACACAGTTGGACAAAATGTGCACTGTGGTCTGTGGCCAACTTGATAATAAACATCTGAATAATTAAAGAGAACAGCGTTTGGGGCCATAACGTACCTTTTTAGAACCTTTAAGAATAATCTGGCATTTAAGGAAATAAAATCGGTTTGTAAAAAACTGCTGGATGTTATTAGGTTTTGGTTAAGTACAATTCAGACAATGAATTTACATCCAGGCCACCTTCAAGATGGAGTTTTATTTTCTGTATCTACAACAATGATACAACATTACTGTTTATCCTACAGGCTTTTATTACTAACAGACTTCAACCATGTCTGTGATCAGTTTGTTTACTTTAAGGACAACATTTCAATATAGGCTGTTCACAAAATATAGTTGAATTTATTTTTATATTAATGTTATACAAATCACTCATATAAAATCACTTATGTAAGCAGAAGTGTGAATTCTTTCCCCAGTCCAGTGTACGTTGAGATAAATTGGTGCTTGTAAATGTCTGCTTCCCACAACCTGATTGATAGACCATTAAAAGCTTAGTTTTTCCTCTGGACCTTCGTTCTTAAAGCCTCCACAGACTAGAATCCAGAAACACACAGCCTCAGAGAGCATGAAAAGTGGTCAAGCTATAAGGCAGCCTTATAAGGCAGTACTGTAAGACTCCTCCAGAGTCCTTCCTATAAAAAGACCAAACCAAGCAGTGCCAGCTGCACATTTTTCGCTCTTATGGAAAACCCCCTTGATTTCTTTATTATATTTATGAGTGACAGTAAAGATTTTCCATTTATAAAAAAGAAGCACCAAAACTGTTTGAACCAAATGTTACTATTTAAACTAAACATGTGCCTGAACTGAGGTGATGTCAGCACAAACTGCTCTGCCACTGTGAAATAGTTGTACATTTGTATCCACCTTCTTCCTGGTGGCTCTACAGTATAAATGATTATGGTGCAACTTCCTGTCAGACAGGAAGTAGCAGTAAGCATTGGTTAGCCATGGTAGCAGAGCCTGGACTGTGGTTTATTTGAAAGTTATTTTCATTCAGTTTAGCAGATAAAACACTATTTTTTTTTTGTTTACATTTGTTTAATAATCATAAGGTTTATTAAAATAGCCGCGCTGAGTTCAGGTACCTGTTGTGTTCAGGGCTGCATGAACAACCAGACCAAACTAAATCAGTGACTACAACAACAGAGTTTGAACACGGAGCCAAAACAAAAAGAGTTCCTGTGAAAAGAGGTCTAGTTTCCATCTCCTACCTACAGATGAGGAATTAAGAAGAATGTGGCTGAAAACTGAACCTGAAGAGACCACCCAAAACACTGCTCATTTCACTTTGTTGACAAACGGCTGATGGAGGAAAGCCTGCATCCTACTTTGTGTGTGGACTACAATAAACCACCGGAGAAGAGACGCCGGATCCTCAGAAGGATTGAACACAGTGACGAGAACATCAGGGATGATTTCAAATGTATGGAGGGAACAGCTTTATAGTATTTGTTTGTCTTCAGTTTTATGATTTTCTCTGTAATGAACCCAAGCTCAGTGATGGAGAAATTTAAGGCTTTGGCTGAGCTCTGTGTCTGATTTAAGGTCAATAAGATTGTGTCCCACCTCTTTTAACAAAACACCACCGACCTTATTACTGTGTAGATACTGATACACCTCAGAGCTTTTCAGGTTGTTCATCGCTTCACCATCAGAAGAACCGAGGCCATGAAGTAGCTAAATGTGCTAGTAGATGAAATATGCAGCTACTTCTTCTGGTCGTCCTCCATCCCTTGTCCTCAGCAGGCAGCGGTGTGATCATATATTCTGCGTATTGTTTTTATACTACTAGTGCTTACTGTATTTTTAGTTAATGTTTTTCTTAGTTCATATCTTAGATCTTATTACTCTTTTTCTTTTACATTTTATATGGATGTAACTGGGACCCTGTGTACACAATTTTGCTCCACCACGTGATGCGAATGGCAATAAAGAACCTTGCATCCTTGAATACGATCCTGTTTGAGCTCTGACAGGTGGTGTTCCTACATGTTTAAATTAAATCCACAATGCTCAGAGAAACAAGCTCATGTGGGGTTCGCACAAAAACAAACGCCAGACTCGGTCCGTGCTGGAAGGCATGCCCATAATCCACGCAATATACCATGGAGTCTTGGAATAAAGTGGATAAAGCTAAAATACAGGATTATGGTTATTCTACCATGATTACAATGTTTATTGTAATTTAAGACTGTAAGCAAAATCTGGGTAGTCTAGTAAAGGGCCATCTTTTGAAGGCTACCTTCTCACACGGCTTTATTTTTGCAACCTCCATGACCTGAATGTCTAAATGAGATTAGATTACAAGAAATCTGGAAAACCTCCTTCATTATAAAGGCAGTCAAGATGCTGCTACAATCTTTAGCTCTTCCCAAATAAGCATTTCCTGCCATATTTCAACATCCCTGAGATGACCAGTTTTTCAGCGACCTGGTCCATGGTCACAGTCTAGACAGGAGGGCAGAGTGACCAGTCATGCTACAAAGTCCTAACAACCAAGACACATTGATGCAAGCAGGCCCAGCTTCATTGATACACTGCCATCCATCCATTATATATTCATCATCCATCAAACCATCCATCCATCCATACTTTGACTGCTTCTAACTAGGGTTTTATTATGTCAGTCATAATCCATACGTACATCCTGATCATAGAAAATAGTTAAGCAAAAAAACTTTATATCTTTTTCCAAAGGGCAGCACGGTGGTGCAACTGGTAGAGCTGCTGCCTCTCAGCGAGCAGGTCCCCGGTTCAAATCTCAGTCCGGGGCCCTTTCTGGGTGAAGTTTGCATGTTCTCTCCGTGCATGCGTGGGTTTTCTCCGGTTTCCTCCCACAGACCAAAAACATGCATGTTAGGCTGACTGGTAACTCTAAATTGCCCCTAGGTGAGAGTGAGAGTGAGAGCGTGAATGGTCTCTATGTGTCCCTGTGATGGACTTGCGACCTGTC